TCTTTTTCATGCATTGCTCCCCGATCCATGTAGCATAATGGCGGACCGTACCCGTACGTTAGCCCCTGATCCATGCATACAATCATTAACTGTACCTGTATTGTTAGCCCCGATCCAGCGGTAATAAATGGTTGTATCTGTAATTGTATATTTAGCCCCTGATCCATTATATTACAATGGTTAGCTTTGTGCCTGTACGTTAGCCCCGATCCATGTACAATGGATAGCTGTACCTGTATTACCGTTAGCCCCCGATCCATGTACAATGGATGTGTTCAATGGCACTGTACACCGTTAGAGCCCGATCCATGTACAATGGATAACTGTACCTGTGCGTTAGCCCCCGATCCATGTACAATGGATAACTGTACCTGTACCTTAGACCACGATCCATGTACAATGGATAACTGTACCTGTACGTTAGACCCCGATCCATGTACAATGGATAGCTGTACCTATAACGTACGTTAGCCCCCGATCCATGTGTACAATGGTTATCTGTACCTGTACGTTAGCCCCGAGCTATGTACAATGGTTAACTGTACCTGTACGTTAGCCCCGATCCATGTACAATCATTAACTGTACCTGTACGTTAGCCCCGATCCATGTACCAATCATTGGCTGTACCTGTACGTTAGGCCCCGATCCATGTACAATGGTTAGCAACTGTACGCCTGTACGTTAGCCCCGATCCATGTACAATCATTAACTGTACCTGTACGTTAGACACGGATCCATGTACAATGGATAACTGTACCTGTAATACGTTAGCCCCGATCCATGCATTAATGGATCACTGTACCCGTGGTACGTTAGCCCCGATCCATGTACAATGGATTACTGCTGTACCTGTACGTTAGCCTCCGATCCATGTACAATGGATAACTGTACCTGTACGTTAGCCCCGATCCATGTACAATGGTTAACTGTACCTGTACGTTAGACCCCGATCCATGTACAATGGATAACTGTACCTGTACGTTAGCCCCCGATCCATGTACAATGGATAACTGTACCTGTACGTTAGACCCCGATCCATGTACAATGGATAACTGTACCTGTACGTTAGCCCCCCGATCCATGTATACAATGGATAACTGTACATTTTGTTCATCAACGCACATTTTAATTCATGAACGATGTGGCCTGATATATATATGTACAGGGAAGGTTGTGTTGAGCCTGCACATCGGAATAGTGACACAAACGGTTCAGTATTCAGTCTTAAAGGGATGTAATTTTTGATTTATGTCACTTACATCATAGCCAGCCTATCCAGTAAATCAAATCGTCTAATGTTCCATGTGCAGCGTTAAATGTCAGTCTAAATCATCCCTTGTTGCTTACACGGCGCTATTCATGTCACAGTATCAAGCTTGTGTACACATTTACGACAGAATTACTTGTCTCACCCTACTCATGCTTAGGTGTCTATAAGGCAACTTAGCCACATATTTTATCATGTTTTAATTTATAAAAATTACATTTGAGTTCTAGTCACGATATTCACAGAAAAATACAATGGAAGGCAATGGACTGACAGCGACCTAGAAAAGACAATGTCATATGTGCATGTGTCTGTGTGCATATGATCTAGAGGCACTGTCTGTTTATGAACACCCTAGGTCATAAACACTCAGTGCCCTATACCATATACACACCGTAACCCTAGACCACGAACCAGTGTGCGAAATAGCCACTAGCCCGCTTAGCCCGTGGCTAGTAAAAAATCCAGTCGGGCCAGTATATCTCCAAAGTCACTTGCCCGACTGGCTAGAAATTTTCATGGGGTCATTTTGAAAATATATCACCATACACCAGACACTGTGAAGATGCAGGTCTAGGCTACTGTGTGTAGATAAACTGGACTTACAGTACCCTAGACCATATACACACTGTGCCCTAGTCCATATATATACACAGTACTCTAGACCATAGACACACAGTATCCTAGACCATAGACACACACAATGGCTCAGTTTATCTACACACGGAAGCCTAGACCATATCTTCATAGTATTTCCAGTTTATCAACACACAGTACTCTAGACCATACACGCACAGTGCCCTAGACCATTAACACACAGTACAGTAGTAGTGTACAACAGTACCCTAGCGCCTTTTCAAGATGGCGGCATCCGGTCCCCCCTGGGCGCCGCCATCTTGGATCGGTCACTTCCGGTCAGGGGGAGATCACTCAGGTTCCGGTTCCGGTGCTTCCGGTTCCGGTGGGACGCGCACGCATGGCGCGATGACGTCACGTCCGGTTCCGGTGGGTGCGCGCGCATGACGATGACGTCACCTCCGGGCCAAGATGGCGGACGCGTTTCAAGATGGCGTCCCCTCCGGTGGGATCGCGTGAGATCTCGCGGGATCTCGTGGAGTCTCGCGGGATCTCGCGAGCGTAGACGCCTTTCAAGATGGCGGAACGGGCGAGCGGCGGACGGGACGGGACGGGACGGAGAGGGAAGGAAGGAGAGGAAAGGAGAGGGAAGGAGGGAGAGAGAGGGGGTGAGGCGGACACGATGGCGTGGCTAGACAAGTGTGTGTGTGTGTGTTGTGTGTGTGTGTGGTTAAAACACATTGGATGGAGCCTTCTTTCGAGCGAGGTGGGTGGCCCTGAAAAGGGCCGTTGGTATGGGTGGGTGAGAGATCACCGAGGTATCTATTGTGGTGATGGTGGTGCACTGGAGGCCGTGCTGCTGGAATCGTCCATGGGTTCGACAAACTCCAAGATGCGTTGAAGTAGAGAGTACATGGTGTCTATGCGATCTTGAACGAGGAGGACCTTGTCATGGAGTAGAGCCAGTAAATGTTGGCTTTCACGTTTACTCACTTTCTTTGGCGGTTCACTTGGCTGGTAGGTGGATGCTGGACGTTTCTGGCCCCTTGTTAGAGCAGTTCATACTCTTATGGTCCTCTTCACCACAGTGACGACAGGGATGTGGACAGGCGTAACTGAGATGACCTTCGTTTTTTCCACAGTTGTAGCAGGTGTTGTTATCATGCTTGTTGTTGTCCTTGGTCTTCTTGGGACATACGTAATAGCGATGACCTTGAGCACCACACTCGGTACAAGTCACCTTGGGACAGTGTAGATAACTGTGGTCATCTGTTTCGCACAGGCGGCAACGGAAGGAAGGAGGCGGAGGCTGGAGACGTCTGCATGCTTCCAGTTTCAGTGAGCAACTGATGAGGAGTGCTGGAAAACCCTTGAATTTATATAGCTGGGGTTGATGACGTCACTTTGACGCATCCGGTTCGCACCGGTTGCATCCGGTTCGCACCACTCTCCTCCTGACTCAACAGGCTAGTGTGACGTCATGGGGTATGACATCATTCCTATAAATAACACATGAGCTCATGGTGTGCACTGGCACGACCCATTGTGACGTCATAGGGTGACGTGACCTATATAAACCAGGCTCAGCGTGGGTCTTACCAGTTCTCACCATGTCGTCACCACGAATGAACGAAGATGAACTTTGAAGAGGAGCCTGTGCCCTACGAGTTGGAGCGGACGACTCAAAACAACCAAAGAAATTCCGGACTGGTACCCAGCGCTACCACCTGAAGTTCAACCCTGTTTGGCTGCAGCGTCAACAGCCTGAAGACCTTCCCGTCGTTCTCAGAGAACAGTTTGATGCCGTGTTAGCAGATCTGAGAGACGATGTGGGTGGCCAGGATGGTGATCGCGTGGGATTGGCCCTGGAACACCCCGTCGTCATATAGCTGGACTATTGCTGAATGCGGCGTAAAACTAAACTCACTCCCTCACTCTCCTGCTATTTTGAACAACTAGAATGCGACCGTTCAGCCACTGCGTTTATCTGCCTTAACCAACTGGTTCTAATGGGAACAAATCATAACCCTCTTAAAATAACGTCAAAATTGCGTCATCAGATGCAAGCATATGATCGAATCTCCAGGAAATGACGTCATGACATAATGCTTCATCGTGAAATAAACCATTCCTTTGTTCTTTGTATTTGAGAAAAAATTAAGACGTATCAATTATTTCCCTTTAGTCACATTCGAGAGCAATACCACTGCAAGAAAGTCCAAAATGGAAAGGGCTTGACGCATTGTAACCATATGGGCCAAAACCTGGCCTCCGGCGTGACCAGCAAACGCTTTAACCAGTAGGCTACCCCACCGCCATTCTCTTTGTGATTTATCACATACCTCTTTGATATTAGATAATAAACAACTGAGTTTCCTTAATCAACAGTTGAGTCTGTTAATATACAACCTTCACAAGCATTCACAATACACTGTCACGTGCACCATTCGCTGATGAAACGGCACTCCGAGTCTCCCATGCATACAGGCGCGCGAAATCAGGTCACTGGAAACAGCCAAGTCACGTGACTCCCTATCAAAGGGGCGTCCACATCGTTGTTGTTGATAACACGCTGCAAGTAAATTTACGGTGTCATGCTGCTTCATTCGACCAGATAACACTCAGAAGTTATCCTTGAAGGTAAGGATGTGCTTATATATCTATATACGATATTTATTTAGTTGTATCTTTGATGTACATTTTATGATGTTCAGCGTTAGAGTAGGTGACATATATTCTACCCTCAAATGTTATGATTATAAAACGTTCATTCCGTTTCTCATTCCGAGGAGACAGTGGTGAAAATAGTGACTATCAACACTGACCAAGTAACGTTCTAAGTTAAACCTATGTCTCAACTTTCAATATTAATTTGACGTGCAACTATGACAGCGAGTGTGGAGTGTATAAGCATTTGTTCTGTGTATGTTGTTTATTGTTATCCAATAGCCTGTCGTTATATTAAGTTTAAAACTTTGTTGACACAAACAAAACAAACATGGATATATTATAATGTCAAATGGAAAATACAACAAAAGCAGCCGAAGTCAAAGTCGAAATTATACTTGTGTACGTTAGCCCCCGATCCATGTACAATGGTTAACTGTACCTGTACGTTAGCCCCCGATCCATGTACAATCATTAACTGTACCTGTACGTTAGCCCCCGATCCATGTACAATGGTTATCTGTACCTGTATGTTAGCCCCCGATCCATGTACAATGGTTAACTGTACCTGTACGTTAGCCCCCGATCCATGTACAATGGATAACTGTACCTGTACGTTAGCCCCCGATCCATGTACAATGGATAACTGTACCTGTACGTTAGACCCCGATCCATGTACAATGGATAACTGTACCTGTACGTTAGCCCCCGATCCATGTACAATGGATAACTGTACCTGTACCTTAGACCCCGATCCATGTACAATGGATAACTGTACCTGTACGTTAGACCCCGATCCATGTACAATGGATAACTGTACCTGTACGTTAGCCCCCGATCCATGTACAATGGTTATCTGTACCTGTACGTTAGCCCCGATCCATGTACAATGGTTAACTGTACCTGTACGTTAGCCCCGATCCATGTACAATCATTAACTGTACCTGTACGTTAGCCCCGATCCATGTACAATCATTAACTGTACCTGTACGTTAGCCCCGATCCATGTACAATGGTTAACTGTACCTGTACGTTAGCCCCGATCCATGTACAATCATTAACTGTACCTGTACGTTAGACACGGATCCATGTACAATGGATAACTGTACCTGTACGTTAGCCCCCGATCCATGTACAATGGATCACTGTACCTGTACGTTAGCCCCCGATCCATGTACAATGGTTAACTGTACCTGTACGTTAGCCTCCGATCCATGTACAATGGATAACTGTACCTGTACGTTAGCCCCCGATCCATGTACAATGGTTAACTGTACCTGTACGTTAGACCCCGATCCATGTACAATGGATAACTGTACCTGTACGTTAGCCCCGATCCATGTACAATGGATAACTGTACCTGTACGTTAGACCCCGATCCATGTACAATGGATAACTGTACCTGTACGTTAGACCCCGATCCATGTACAATGGATAACTGTACATTTTGTTCATCAACACACATTTTAATTCATGAACGATGTGGCCTGATATATATGTACAGGGAAGGTTGTGTTGAGCCTGCACATCCGGAATAGTGACACAAACGGTTCAGTATTCAGTCTTAAAGGGATGTAATTTTGATTTATGTCACTTACATCATAGCCAGCCTATCCAGTAAATCAAATCGTCTAATGTTCCATGTGCAGCGTTAAATGTCAGTCTAAATCACATCCCTTGTTACACACGGCGCTATTCATGTCACAGTATCAAGCTTGTGTGTACACATTTACGACAGGAGTACTTGTCTCACCCTACTCATACTTAGGTGTCTATAAGGCAACTTAGCCACATATTTTATCATGTTTTTAATTTATAAAAAAATTACATTTGAGTTCTAGTCACGATATTCACAGAAAAATACAATGGAAGGCAATGGACTGACAGCGACCTAGAAAAGACAATGTCATATGTGCATGTGTCTGTGTGCATATGATCTAGGGCACTGTCTGTTTATAGACACCTAGGTCATAAACACTCAGTGCCCTATACCATATACACACCGTAACCTAGACCACGAACCAGTGTGCGAAATAGCCACTGCCCGCTAGCCCGTGGCTAGTAAAAATTCAGTCGGGCCAGTATATCTCCAAAGTCACTGGCCCGACTGGCTAATGAATTTTCATGGGGTCATTTTGTAAATATATCACCATACACCAGACACTGTGAAGATATGGTCTAGGATACTGTGTGTAGATAAACTGAGACACAGTACCCTAGACCATATACACACAGTGCCCTAGTCCATATATACACAGTACTCTAGACCATAGACACACAGTATCCTAGACCATAGACACACAATGGCTCAGTTAATCTACACACGGAAGCCTAGACCATATATCTAAATAGTATTTCAGTTTATCAACACACAGTAATCTAGAGCATACACACACACAGTGTCCTAGACCATACACACACAGTGTCCTAGACCATACACACACCGTGCCCTAAACCATACATACACCTGTGACCTAGACCATACACACACAGTGCCTAAACCATACACACACAGTGCCCTAAACCATACACACACTGTGCCCTAGACCATACACACACAGTGCCCTAAACCATACACACACACACTGCCTAGACCATACACACACCGTGCCCTAAACCATACACACACACACTGCCCTAGACCATACACACCGTGCCCTAAACCATACACACACTGTGCCCTGGACCATACACACACAGTGCCCCTAAACCATACACACATAGTGCCCTAAACCATACACACACAGTACCCTAGACCATACACACACTGTACCCTAGACCATACACACACAGTAACCCTATACCCACACACACACTGAACCCTAGACCATATACACACAGCGCCCTAGACCATACACACACACAGTACCCTAGACCATACACACACTGTACCCTAGACCATATACACACCGTGCTCCTAGACCATACACACACAGTACCCCTATACCATACACAGACTGTTCCCTAGACCATATACACACTGTGCCCTAAACCATACACTACTCAGTACCCTAAACCATACACACACAGTACCCTATACCACACACACACTGTACCCTAGACCATATACACACAGTGCCCTAGACCATACACACACAGTACCCTATACCACACACACACTGTACCCTAGACCATATACACACAGTGCCCTAGACCATACACACACAGTACCCTATACCACACACAGACTGTACCCTAGACCATATACACACAGTACCCTATACCACACACACACACCGTACCCTAGACCATACACACACCGTGCCCTAAACCATACACACACAGTACCCTAGACCATATACACACAGTACCCTAGACCACACACACACAGTACCCTAGACCATACACACACCATGCCCATAAACCATACACACACAGTACCCTAGACCATACACACACAGTGCCCTAGACCATACACACACTGTACCTAGACCATTTACACACAGTACCCTAGACCATATACACACAGTGCCCTACACCATACACACACCGTGCCCTAGACCATATACACACAGTGCCCTAGACCATACACACACACTGTGCCCTAAACCATATACACACACAGTACCCTAGACCATATACACACAGTACCCTAGACCATACACACACACAGTACCCTAGACCATACACACACCATGCCCATAAACCATACACACACAGTACCCTAGACCATACACACACAGTGCCCTAGACCATACACACACGGTACCTAGACCATATACACACAGTGCCCTAGACCATACACACACGGTACCCTAGACCATACACACACAGTGCCCTAGACCATACACACACAGTACCCTATACCACACACACACAGTGCCCTAGACCATACACACACAGTGCCCTAGACCATACACACACTGTACCCTAGACCATATACACACAGTGCCTTAGACCATACACACACAGTGCCCTAGACCATACACACACAGTGCCCTAGACCATATACACACAGTGCCCTAGACCATACACACACAGTGCCCTAGACCATACACACACAGTGCCCTAAACCATACACACACCGTGCCCAAGACCATACACACACAGTGCCCTAGACCATACACACACAGTGCCCTAGACCATACACACACAGTACCCTAGACCATTGACACTCAGTGCCCTAGACCATACACACACAGTGCCCTAGACCATACACACACAGTACCCTAGACCATACACACACTGTACCCTAGACCATAGACACACAGTACCCTAGACCATACACACACAGTGCCCTAGACCATACACACACAGTGCACTAGACCATAAACACACTGTACCCTAGACCATACACACACAGTGCCCAACACCATACACACACAGTGCCCTACACCATACACACACAGTGCCCTAGACCATACACTCACAGTGCCCTCAACCACACACACACACTGCCCAAGACCATACACACACACTGCCCTAGACGATACACACATAGTGCTCTAGACCATAGACACTATTGCCCTAGACCATATGCACACAGCACCGTAGACCATGTACACACAGTGTCTCAGTCCACATACGCAAAGTTATACGGACAGTATATGGAAAATATCTGATAGTTATCCGTTCGTTATGTGCAGATCTCGCAACCCCGGCACAGGTGTCAACATGTCGACGTCACACATTCCTACGTCATTAGACAGGCGAGACACGTCGCCCCCTGACTCTCATCTCATCTTCTCTGTCGTCTCGCTCATCTTCTGTCTGCCTGTGGGGATATTCGCGATCCTTGCCAGCCTGAAGGTGGGTAATCAGTGATTGTGAACGAGAGTGGGCAATGAACGATTGTAGAAGTCGGTATTGAATGTATTTGAAGTTGCGTACTTGTGAAGTGGATAATTGTATGTTTTTCCAGACTATGTTTGACAGCATGAGTATCGGTCGACCCAATGGGGATAAGATGATTTGATTGATTGAATGTTTTTTAGCGTCGCACTCAACAAATATTCCACCTATGTGTCTCCTGTCTGTATATAATCGAGTCTGGACTAGACAATCCTGTGATCGACAGCATGAGCATCGATCTAGGCAATTGGGACGCGATGACACGTGTTAACCAGGTCAGCGAGCCTGTACCATCACCACCACACACCACATCAAACGCACGCACGCACGCACGCACGCACGCACGCACGCACGCACGCACATGCAAACACACACACCACCGCCCAACCACGATCCCGTTAGTCGCCTCTTACGACAAGCATGGGTTGAATGTGTATGAAGTTCCCTACTCATTGATTGAACATGTTGTTTGACAGTGAAGGGTTGCTCAAAGATGAGAAGTGAAAGATAGTACGTAAACATGGGCAGTGAATGGTTGCAGGCAAACGTGGTTTTTGACAGTGAAGGGTTGATGAAGATGAGAAGTGAATGATTGTACGTAAACGTGGGCAGTGAATGGTTGCAGGCAAACGTGGTTTTTGACAGTGAAGGGTTGCTCAAAGATGAGAAGTGAAAGATTGTACGTAAATGTGGGCAGTGAATGGTTGCAGACAAACGTGGTTTTGACAGTGAAGGATTGATGAAGATGAGAAGTGAATGATTGTACGTAAACGTGGGCAGTGAATGGTTGCAGACAAACGTGGTTTTGACAGTGAAGGATTGATGAAGATGAGAAGTGAATGATTGTACGTAAACGTGGGCAGTGAATGGTTGCAGATAAACGTGGTTTTTGACAGTGAAGGATTGGTGAAGATGAGAAGTGAATGATTGTACGTAAAGGTGGGCAGTGAATGGTTGCAGACAAACGTGTGTTTTTACAGTGAAGGATTGATGAAGATGAGAAGTGAATGATTGTACGTAAAGGTGGGCAGTGAATGGATGCAGACAAACGTGGTTTTTGACAGTGAAGGATTGATGAAGATGAGAAGTGAATGATTGTACGTAAAGGTGGGCAGTGAATGGTTGCAGACAAACGTGGTTTTTGACAGTGAAGGATTGATGAAGATGAGAAGTGAATGATTGTACGTAAAGGTGGGCAGTGAATGGATGCAGAGAAATGTGGTTTTTGACAGTGAAGGATTGATGAAGATGAGAAGTGAATGATTGTACGTAAAGGTGGGCAGTGAATGTGGATGCAGACAAACGTGGTTTTTGACAGTGAAGGATTGATGAAGATGAGAAGTGAATGATTGTACGTAAAGGTGGGCAGTGAATGGATGCTGACAAATGTGGTTTTTGACAGTGAAGGATTGATGAAGATGAGAAGTGAATGATTGTACGTAAAGGTGGGCAGTGAATGGTTGCAGGCAAACGTGGTTTTTGACAGTGAAGGGCAGTTGAAGATGAGAAGTGAATGATTGTACGTAAAGGTGGGCAGTGAATGATTGCAGATATGAAGTCTGCATTGATTGTATTTCAAGTTGCCTACTGAATGATTGAGCGTTTTCTTTTTACACTCATGCTGTTGATCACTGGATTGTCTGGTCCAGACTCGATTATTTACAGACCGCCGCCAAATAACTGGAATATATAACTAAACTCACTCACTCACTCACTCTTTTTACAGTGAATGTCTGTTTAAAGGTGAGAAGTTGATGATTGTACGTAAAGGTGGCTATTCAAGGATTTTATTTGAAGGTGGGTAATGAATGATTGTTCACCTACGTGGGTTGTCAATAATTGTACATGAAGCGGGGCAATAAATGAACGTGACTGTGGACATTTGACTTTGACTGTGAACGTGAGTGGTATAGTAGCTGTTTCAGCTGGATGGTTGACATAGCTGTGTTTCCCACACATTATATCTGACTACTTCGAGGTATTGTGACTCTGTGGCGTTTTGTGCTCTTCTAACAGGATAAACACTGTTATTGTGTCTCACTATATTTTTTATTCGTCAACAAGTTGTCATTGAAAACCTGATTTGCCTACATGATAAAAGCGACAGGGATTTCTTCAGGTTGTAACTATGTAACGTTGACCTGCCACCGAGTATACAGTGGCTTGTATAAGTCAACATGACACGGCTAAACAGAGACAAGGAGAATGTTCCTCCACTGATTAAATCATATCCTGACGTCAGCCCATCATGTTTGCCCCGAGCAAAGCTTTATGCATTGAAAACAGAAGGAAATATGCATATGTGTGCAGTTAACACAAGCCTGCGTCTTATTATATTAGTAAATATGCCGATCATAACGCGACTATTTACATGCTATGATTAGTCTGAACCTAGCTGTTAGTGGCGTTAAACGACATTACACTCACTAACCTGTAAATATACAGAACACTTTACAAAAAAAACACGTGCTCAAACATATTTATTTTTCCCCCCATTTTCAGCTGTCATGCACGAAGTCTGTGATACAAGAGACGCACGCACACACGCGCGCGCGCAACCGCGTGCATACGCACACAAGCATGTCTGTTTTACGTCAAGACGTATGTCTGTGCATAAATCAACCGGCATGTATGCTTTACGTCAACATATATGCATGCTTTACGTCGACAAGTATAAATGCTATATGTCAACAAGTATACATGCTATACGTCAACAAGTATACATGCTATACGTCTACAAGTATACATGCTATACATCAACAAGTATACATGGTATACGTCAACTAGTATACATGCTATACGTCTACAAGTATACATGCTATACGTCTACAAGTACACATGCTATACGTCAACAAGTATACATGCTATACGTCTACAAGTATACATGCTATACGTCAACACGTATACATGCTATACGTCAACAGGTATACATGCTATACGTCAACAGGTATACATGCTATACGTCAACAAGTATACATGCTATACGTCAACAAGTATACAAGTATACATGCTATACGTCAACAAGTATACATGCTATACGTCAACAAATATGCATGCTATACGTCAACAAGTATACATGCTATACGTCTACAAGTATACATGTTATACGTCAAGAAGTATGCAGGATGTACGTCAACAAGTATGCAGGATGTACGTCAACAAGTATACATGCTATACGTCAACAAGTATGCATGATGTATGTCATAATTATACTTGTTGCAGGTCAACACTGTGGAGTGTTTTGCCAGGATGTTTTTGTATCAAGGGTTTGAATAATGGTTCGCTTTGATAACGTTTCTATGTTAATCAGCAGCATACGGGTGTTTGTTCACCCGTAAGACGTACTTCATTTTTGGCTTTTCCCCCACATCAAGATGACGTAATGGAATACTGGACATCTGCCTAACTCACTCACTCACTCACTCACTCACTCACTCAATCACTAACTCACTCACACTCACTCACACTAGTCAAGGAGCTTATGGGATTCCGTGAAAGTTTTTTGATGAAAGCAAATCATATATTTTTTGTGTTTATATGTTAAAGGAGTTTAAAAAAATGTTTGGTTCCAATTGGAATATTGATGCGAAAGCTAATTTTAGCTCAAAATCCAAGACGGCCGCCAAAATTTAACCGGGAACTGAAAAAGTTGCAAAAACTCGGAACAAATCAATGGTTTTAATATCAAATACCATGCATATTTGGTTACGGAATATATTTCTCTTATGCTGTAAGTCACCAGATGTTTTTAGTCTGATAGTAGTCATAAATTTACATAATACGAGTTATTTTTAGCTCTAACAGTTATAATGATGAATAAAACCCCCATTTCTCCACAAGGCATATATTTTGTATAGAACTAGTACAATATGAGAAAGGAATATACTTTTTACCCTGTTTATCAACTATAGAAGAGGTCTTTACATGAAACTGCGACCGAGAAATATACTCTTCAAAAAAAGAAACGCACAAGCCATTTTTAGAAGAATTTCTTGCATTAGTTTAAGAGCAATTATTTCATGTAATCCCAATGGTAAAAAGGTGAAAATTCAAATGTCTATAGACAAAGCCTTTACTGTTGTGTTTCTGTTTACTTGAGTCCACAAGATGACGTCAAAGTCAGTTCTTTGTTTGGCCACCATTGGCAGCAATTACTGCTCGGCACCGTCTCGGCACAGACTGGATAAGTTGACGAAGTAGCTCTTATCATTGTAGGCGACTTCAATTTCCATTTTGACAAGGATAACCATGACACTAAACAAATACTTAATCTTCTTGAAGTCCACAACTGTGTACAACTTGCGTCAGAGGCAAGCCACAGAGGTGGACACACTCTGGACTGGATAGTTACCCGTGCTTCAGACGCGTGTGTCAGTTGTGTATCTGTATAGGATATACAGCTCTCTGACCATTTCCATATCTTTGTGAGCTTGGACCTCTCAATACCCAGTCCAAATGTGAAGATTACTCGTTGTGAGAACATGCGCTCCCTGGATACTTTTAAAGACAATTGCTAAACTCAGACCTTATACTTGAGCCACCATCTGATGCTGAGTGTCTCGTTCTGCTATACAATAGAGTTCTATCTGAGCTGCTATATAGACAAACATACACCAGTGAAGTCATACCAGTCACTAAAATATGTGCTTGGGACTTCACAGCTGAAGTTCGACAAGCAAAAAAAGACAAGACGAAAGCAGAACGCAGATGGAAAACAATCTTTCCTGGAGATTCATCGCCAAATGTATATTTCAGTCAAAAACCACTCAACAACGGTCATCAGACAAATTAACATCTCAATTCTAAGATTGAAGCCAACGAGTCAAGTCCAAAGTTGCTGTTCAAACTTTTCTTCAGTATCTTGAGTAAACACATTGAATCGACACTTCCGACATCTGATGACAATGAAGTAATTTTCGGATTATTTATACAAAAGATCCAAGAACATTTATGACAAG